TGACGTCGACGTCTTCCTCTGCCGCCATACCGTTGACAGGACTTCTAAAAGTCAAAATTGCCCTATTTCTAGGTGTATAGCTGTGCGCTATCGTCTATGGTTGACACACCCTGGGCCAGGGTCGACACCATGCGTCTTGCAGATAACATACGGCATCGCCGTCTCTCCTCTCTGTAGAGGTTTACGTCTCATTGAAACCAGTGGGAACACGCACTCGGCGTCATCCAGTGTTGCCACTCCCTGCTCCATCGAAGCCTCAATGCTATTAACAGCATCCTACGAAGAGCTGCTATTTCCGCAGTCTTCGTCCAGTGGATTACGTTCCACACTGTATCTGAAGGGCTTGTCTGAGATGACTTGGAACTCGTCCAACCATGCTACTCTTGGCATGCAGCAACTGCTTCGTAATGTGAACAGTGCTCAGTGGATTATGTGACACTCCACACCCATCACTGAGGCCTCGCCCTCGATGTCTAGGACCTCGTCCGACCATGCCGCTCCTGGACTGCAGCAACTGCTTTGATACTTAAGCAGGGCTCATTGGGTTACGTGCCACTCCAGGTGCATCACTGGACCTTCGCCTTCGATGATTCGGCTCTTGGCCCTTGGCCCTTTGCTGACCATGCCACTCTTGATATGTACATGCAGCAACTGGTTTGATACTCAAGCACTGCTCAGTGAGTTACGTGCCACTCATCTTCACATAGACCGTCCCGGTCCAAAGATCGCGCCAATTGCGCTTCTGCTTCTAAGCATAGGTGTATTCATGACTTACCAAAGCTCAACCAGAAGACGTGCGCGTAGCGTCCAAGGTCTTCAATCTCATATCGATTCATGGCTCATGGTGTTCCAATCAGGCCATACCAAGGGTAACGTCATACCTTGCATTCAAGTCTAAGATTGAGCGGCGTTCCACGATATCGGAGTCAAAAAACTTGACACCGAGGTCCACCGGGACCCTCGGCACAGTGATACAAGTCCCCGTCACTAAACGAACAGTGACGGTGTCACTCAATCGCGCTTTTAGCGTCTCAGCATACAGTTGACTTCCTCCGCCTATATCTAAATCTCTAGGGTTTCACTATCTATATAGTAAAACCTGCTGTTCCAGCAACGTACTAACTTTGTAACGGGGGTTACACGTGCCCTTGTGAGAAAGAAAGAGTCAAAAAAATAATGTAGCAATTCAATATAAATTAAATGTAAATGTGAATTTATAATTTGATAAAAAAAGCTTTAGGGCAAAGATGGCGTTACCTCCCTTGCATGCAGTGGCCGCGGTCACGGCTCCTTGGATCATGATGCTAATCATTGTTGTCTGGGCATTTTTACGTGGTTTAACCTGCTCAATTTCACGTGCGACTCACACTTCCAAAACGATTAAAAGCCTTCGCGTGGGATTTGTACACCCAGACTTTGGTATTGGTGGCGCCGAGAACCTCGTGGTGAACGCAGCAATAGCTCTGCAGCAGCGTGGAATACATGTCACCGTATTTACAGCTCATCATGATGTAAACCATTGCTTTGAAGAGACGCGTGGCGAAGGACCTCTGGCCGCTCACGTGCGAGTGCACGGCGATTGGCTTCCACGCACAATTCTAGGAAAGCTGTACGCACTGTGTGCGGTGATGCGTATTCTTTTTGTTACGCTGTGTATCGCAATATCTTACACCAGTGACGTGGACGTGTTTGTGGTTGACCAAGTCTCCATCTCCATTCCATTCTTACGAGCGCTGGGCAAGCCCGTACTCTTTTATGGCCACTTTCCGGATAAGCTGCTCTGCATTCGATCTAACTCGCCTTGGAAGCGTCTGTACCGCATAGTTCTGGACTATCTGGAAGGAATTACTACTGCTTCGGCGGATATTATCGTAGTTAACAGCAACTTTTCGCGAAGCGTTTTTCTGGAGGTATTTCCGCAATTACAGTCGAAGTCGCTGAGGGTACTATATCCACCGGTCGATGTTGAAGCTTATAAAGCAACTGCAGATTTAAATGTACAGCGTGATGCGGGTCTATTTGTGTCTCTCAATCGCTTTGAGCGCAAAAAGAATGTGGCCCTGGCTATCGAAGCCCTCTCGAAACTGCGCCTAATACTTACAAATGGCGATTTCAAGCGTGTAAAACTGATTGTGGCTGGAGGCTATGATCGCCTGAATACTGAGAACAAAGAGTACTTGATTGAGCTCAAAGAAGTGGTAGTCAAGCATAGGCTTGATGAATTCGTTGAGTTTCGTACATCCGTCTCAAAATCGATGAAGCTTGACCTACTGCGCAAAGCTAGCGCTATTTTGTACACTCCTGATCGCGAGCATTTTGGCATTGTCCCTGTTGAGGCCATGGCATGTGGTACACCTGTTATCGCTGTGAGCTCAGGTGGTCCGTTGGAGTCTATCGCTGACGGTGAGACGGGCTTTTTGTGCGAACAAAAGCCAGAAGCGTTTGCCGAGATCATGGCAAAATTTTGTGGTCCTCCTCACAGCGTAGACGTTGCTGAAATGGGGGCGTGTGGCAGACTTCGTGCTCAGAAACTTTTTTCGCTCGAAACTTTTGGAAACACTCTGGTAGACCTGGTGAGCCAGGCTGTGTATGGCGCAAAGTCTGCATAGTAATAAAGGTACTTAGTATTGAAATACATTGTTGTCTGATTCTATTTGTGCATGCCGCCTTTTGCTTGACTAACAGGTCGTTGCTTTTCGTTCAGTCAAATCCACCATACACCGCAAAAAGAATCTTTGCATGAATTCGCGTTATCAGAGAGTTGGTTCATGTAGCGCTTCCGAAATCGCCGATAACAACTGCAAGACGAATCGAAAGATAGTTCGCTATCCATGTCGCGACACTGAGTCACGTACTTTTGCAACATCGGGGCGTTTTCGTAATAGTGTCGCGAATCAAAATGTGTAGAGCGAACGCAGTCCCGATTCATAAGTTCCTGAACAGGCAATGTACCTGAATCTGCATGACGAGATTTGGGGTTGACTGGTGGAAGTTTTAAATAGCGGCAAATGGAGTTGCATCGATGTGACGAGAGGAACTTCTGAAACCCCAGGACACCGAGATTACCTTTTCCAAAATCGTGTCCATTAAGCGTATGAATCTGCGGATCCGTGTACATATCTCCTACTCCTTGTATGTCCACAGCTAACAATTCGTGATTCGATGCTTCATACGTAAAGTGCGAAAAGGCCTGAGGCGTGTTACGCTCATCATCGCTGACAGATCCGAAATTGTTGTTGTGTTTGCGGTACTCGCCTGGGATATAAGCCTCTACTGCACACAGTGCACCGTTTCGCTCAGGCAGCTCTAACACCCACGCTGGGATAAACTCGACACGCTTAGGGGGCGTGTACGAGTTGTACACTTGTGCGTAATGCGCGCAGTGGGCTTGCAGCTCGATATCTCTAAAGTACGTTTGTGGATCCTCGTCTGGGTCGATGGCTAGCTTGGCCACGAAGCTGCCTGTGTAACAACTGCCATTATCCGTACTCAAATCTTGTAAATGATACACTAATCGCAGACTTCCTTTGCTAAAAGGCGTCTCGTCTAAATTAATGCACACCTGCGTACTGCTCCACTGTCGCGTGGCGTAGTTAAACATATGCTTGACAGCTACTTCTGGACTCAACTCTTGAAAGTCCGGCGCATGAGGCACAATAAGAGGCAAGCCTGCAATTAACAGCATTTCGTCAGTCTAATATGTTGTCATTGAAATTGCCACGAGTGACAGCACCTTCCGTTCGACGAAACGTTGTGCGTCTTCGCTGAGTGACCGTTTTCTCCGTAGTCAAAATAGGCACTATTGACGAGAATGTAAGTTCGTCCATGATGACACATTTTCGTCTTGGAAACAAAATTAAAGCCCATCAGGGTCCATACCGACTCAAATCATGTGATTTCTCTTTGACATACCGTTCGTACTCTTCCTCTGTAATGTATCCTTCATCACAAAGTGCCCTGAGAGTCGATATCCTGGTCATAATACTGTCCTGTAAGTTGCCGGTGATCTCTCGTGTACGGTCCAACTCTGTGGAGCTATCCGCAGAATTACGGTGTCGACTAGAGTCTGCGCCCCACACATTTTGCTGTGAGAATGGGGCTGTCTCATTACCGCTTTCAATTTCACTGTCATTTTCGCCCTCACCAGCTTGTTGATGACACAGCTCACTTTTTCGCTTGTCCGTGGGATTCGCAGCAAACACCGCGTGAGGAATCCAAGCGTTGCTATCTTCCGTGTGCGCCTCACTGGTCTGTTGACCACAAGAACCACGACATGGTGGCGAATTTGTGGACATCCCAGTACCCCAAGTCTCCAATCCACCAGAGAAGATAGCAGCGAAACGGCGTTGGCTTTTGGAACGAAATAGAAATGTTTGTGTACGTCAGACAACATCTTGAGCGAATTTTGACTGGCTAAATATAAAATAGAGCTGATAGGATAAACATCTGTACGATTCATGCACTTCAACATTGAGTTCGTCAATCGAGATCTCAATTGCAAGTCAGTGCGAGACAGAAGTTAGTATATCGATATGGCGGCATGTGAAAGTGGCTATTCGCGAACTAATATATCAAATAGTGTAGATGGCGATGCTGAGTCCCATGACTTTATGACAGACACCATTCTTCCCAGTGAGCTCGTTATGGCTGCCCGCGTTAAGTGCGCGCGCTTTGTTCCTTGGTGGATGTCGAAACGTCGATGGCTTGTCCTACGTGGTTCGAAATCACCAATTCTAAGTGTCTACCGTCAGGACCCACGACGACTTGAAAATCATGCGCCAGTTCAGATGCTACTGCTAGGGAAGGATACAAGAATGCGAGTCGCTGGTAAAAAGCGGCTGGTGTTAGTCAGCTCCAGGGTGCGTAAGGACGACACGTTATCAGTGGAATTTGACTCTAGTGAGCAAAGACAAGTTGTGTATGCCACGCTGAGCCAATGGGTGGCACTTGCGGTGCTGTTGCAACGCCTGACAATTCATGAAAGTATGGCCAAAAAGCCCAACTCGACGGTTTACCTCTGCCATGATTGCTATGATCCGATGAACAAATTTGTGCTGAAGCGTATTCATGGATCTCATGGTCGTACTGCGCTGAGCAGGACTACTCAGATTATGGCATTGAACCGTGAACATTACGAATTGGGGGAATACCTTGCGCAGTATTTTTATTTATATGAAGACACCAAGGCCGAGTGTGCAACCGTCATCATGAAATACTATTCTGGTGGATCTTTAGCGGACAGAATTCGCGAATGTGGTTCACTTCCTGAAGCTTTGGCCTGTAGGGTCTTAGTTTTACTGTGCAAGGCACTTCGTGTGCTGCATGAACACCAAATGTTGCACTTAAATATTAAAGCTAGCAACATTTTTTTTGATGACAGTCCGAACGGCAATTTTTGCAACCTAAAAATTGTTGATTTCGGTAATGGAACGAACGTTTTTGATAGTGACGATATCGATGACAACTGGGAGAACATAGAAGATGTGGAATCGTATGGGTACATGACCACAACACAGTATCAAGACTGCTGTGATCCGGAGACTGACGTCTACGGTGCTGGCATTGTCTTGTATCACATGCTGTCTGGAACAGTGCCGTTTCTAGATGCTGAGTTACATTTGTTTCTGACGCGGAATGTGATCAGTGAGCTGGATTTTGCGGGGAAGGTGTGGCAGAACGTTTCGCCACAAATGAGATCACTCACAGCTAGAATGTTAGACAGAAATCCAGTCAAACGAATTACCCTGGCTGAAATCCTGAGTTTATCATGGCTATCGCAAGAATTCGAATCTATTCACACTGTATGACAGCGAATTCTTTAAGCACAATAAGTCCTGACGTTACTCAATGTAACGTCGAATTCACTACGTCGACAACAGCTTAATACTCACGCATTTGGCTGTCAACGTATTTGACTAAACTTAACGATATGACGAAACTCAAATGCTTGCAGCAGTCTCGTAAACTTGCAATAGCGCATCATCACCACCCGACACGAGTCGCGATCCCGAAGAGTTGTACGCAACGCTCCACACCTAATACAACAACATTAAGGTTCATACACTTCTTATCAATGATCGTCTAGATAGATGACTTTGCTGACCTGGTCCGTATGCGTTTCAAAGGTGGTCAAACAACGCCTTGTGCCAATATCCCAAATCTTGACGCGGCGGTCTGCACCCCTATTTCGTATTCGACACGATAGCACATGGTTAGAATTGGTCAAACAGAGGTCAGTAATTGCCTGTAGCGCACCCTGTCGCAAATTGAGCGCCGTCTGGCGAGCAGGCAACGCTTAACACCCAGGAAACATGACCAGACAGAGTAGCAACTGCATTGCCGTGAGTTCTACATAGCACCGACACATTAGTGTAATTCACAAGTCACCATATAGGAACTCCATCAAGCGTACACATCGTAGACGTTAATGTGCATATCATCTGATGCAGCAAACAATCTTCCATCTGGCGCGTACGCCACAGAGCGCACGGGTTTGGTGCGGTCTAACGATACATAACATATGCTCTTCAGTCTCGTTTGCACACTAGAACACTATGTACATTCAACACGGCCACACACCGTCATACTTGTGGACCAACGCGCCAGACTCTACGTCATATACGCCAACAAAGCCGTTAAACCCACCACACGCCACATGTTTTCCATTTGGAGACTGCAGAACCACATCATACAACTTATAAACATTTCTTTATGCAGAGCTTCTACACTTAGCCTCACATAAGCAACACTGAGCACAAACTTTGCTTGAGTTGGAATTTCATGCACAATCTTCTCTGCTTGAATGTCAAAGATGTTGATTTTACTTTGCTGGCTACCTGACACGAGTTGAGTCTCATCAGGGCTGTAGGCTAGTTGCCAAAGCTCACCAGGCCCGGCATCAATCGTCTTCTCCACAGCGCCCGATTCAAGGTTTAATAGACGAATTTGGCAGTCTAAAGAGCTTGTGACCGCGTGTGTACCTGCTTTATTGCCCACGATGGAAATTGTGCCCAGCACGTGGCCTGGGTATTGCTGCGAGATAGACACAGCATTTTCCATAACATCCCTTTAGCAATGTTAGCAATAGTATAATCCACTGCATTGCCAGCATATTAGTTGAGCATCAACTTTGACATACCAAGACTTGGCGACTTCGTCCACGGATCCAGTCAAAATCTTATCGTTGGACGTCCAAAACGTACTCCAGATGCCATCGCTGTGAGCATTTGGAAATTGAATAGATGCCCGATACTGCTCGCATTGTCACATGTGAGGCGATGCGCACGTTTAGACAATATTTTCATCGTACATTTCCTCGCGCCGCCATTCTCGTTTACCAGACGATTAAAGCCGGTAATGAAAGGTTGTAAACCGGTTTTTGGACTTAAACCTCAAAACTAGAGATGAAAGTGCAGGTTAGGCCCAACCACTGTTCCAACTCGCTCTACTACTCATTATTCCAGATTTGCATATTTTGCTTGAACAATTAGGTAGTGTGTCTGTGCGGCAGCACTTCGTAGCTAATGCAGCATAAACTTTTGACAGAAAAGTACAGCAATCGTACAACAGGTCGCGAATGAACATGCATAATGATAATCATGGGATGTGTAATGACATTAGCAAATTGTTTAGATTCAATATTTGCTATGTGCCTTCATCTGCCAACTTTCATTCCGTGCAACAAGGCAGGTTGGAGTATGAAAGTCGGAAGCACTGACCTTAGCTAAGCTGAAGGGGAAAATACTTAGCTTCCGATCGTCATCGTGGTGCTCGAAGATGCTACATCTGCGATAGTGTCATATATCACCTTCACTTGGCTTTCGGTTGGGGGGGTATGAAGGTCGGAGTATCACGCAGATTGGGCGACAAGCCCCTAGTCCGTCCTACACTTGAAAGCAGTGAGTATATTATACCTCTTAGAGATCGTGGTCAATCGGACCCAGCATATGAGCGAGCAACTTTCTTCACGAGTATTGGGAGATGCGGCAGAAAGATCTGGTATATCCAGGAGCACATCCAATTACGCATAACACGCGAATTTCGACCACATTATACAGAAAGCGGTGGCATTGAAGAAATGCTAGATACTCGTTTCGTGACAAGAGCCCGAAGGCTTTTCTGTCGCTACCTGTGAAATTCGAGAAAATTGACGGCATGGAACGTAGTCTGGCTCTTGAATTTGCGCCATATTTAGCAATTACATATGTATCTTCTGTATGCATTGTGGAACCAATAAAAGAAGATAGCAGTATGGTGTTTTTAAATGCATACGTGATTTCATACATGAAGTCACAAACATGCTTTGTGATACAGAATGCTGGTTCCTACTTGAGGATCGGTACTGATGACGAGACCGACGTGTCTTGTCTTTAGAAGTGGGTGGCATAAGCCAGTCACTTCTGCTGGATACTTTTCACGAAAGTTGAAGTTCAAGCTCTCTCGAAGTTCAAGCTCCGTACACCCATGATCTTGTATCAGCTGACTCTGAGGTTTAACCTCAATACGCCCTTGATTTAATAAACATCTTTTTTTAAGTGGCATTTCGACTTCCAAGGTTCAATTCATCTTTCTTCCAAGTCAGAAGTGCTTCCCCTTAATGCATAATCGTATGCACCGTGTTAAAGTGAATTGCCGACAGCGTCTTCTTAAATTATCTGATCTCAACAAATCTTGCTTCCTGAAACACCCCTAGCTCTAGCCAAAGTGTGTAGAGATAAAAGCACCGATGAGTAATGCCACAATTGCGACATGCGATAACTCATGAGCGGTGCTAAATGGAATCCGTCAGCACATAAGGCCGACCAGTATGTACTCTACCTCAAAGGTATACTCGGACTGGATGTAAAACAATATTGCAATTCCGCAGAGATTTGTTGTGATGATGTCAGTACGCATAACAACGCATGATCTTTATAGTTGATGTATGGCTTCGAGCCAAGCAGTTGTATCATTAAGTTGACAAGAGCATACTTCATAACAAGTTGCTCCTTGTCATAAATGACATAGTGCTTTAATTCGCTTTGAGATGAAATTACTCAATGGTAGTGGCCCGTTTTTGTGCATTCTCTTCTGCCAGGAGCAAAGCAATGCCTATGACAGAGGCCGAAGCTTCACCAGTGACATGTTTAAAAGCGCTTAGATGAATACATGCACATATCTTTTCTTTTCGTCTTCAGCTCGACTTTCTACCACACTTTGACTTTCACTCATGGATTGAAGGGCATAAATAACACTGTACTGGCTGTATAAAATTGACCAGTTTCCTTCCTTAAGACCTTCGGAACAGAGGCACTGACAAATCAGTATTGTCCTCGAGTCTTGTATGATCTTTCCGCAGGTCGTGATTAACAATGACACTTCGGGTTTTGTCGGCGCTGAATACGCACTTCTCTCCATTTGTGAACATCTTGTTTAAGCACATAAAAATAACCGCAGCTCGCAAGTGCTCAATTCGGATGGATATATCCAGCTTTTCATGCTTTAAACAATATCGACTAATACATCATCGAAAGTAATATGTGCAGAGCCATGATGTGGCCTAGAAGCTATATGATAAATAGACTATTGAAGTCCAAAGGTGATCGATGTAGAGCTCAACATTTATTTTTCTATTCGTAACGAGGCTGTAAATAGACTATTTTACTCCAAAGGTGATCAATGTAGAGCTCAACATTTATTTTCCTATTCGTAACGAGGCTGTGACCAGAAATTAAAGTTTGAAAATTTAGGATTGCAAGAAATCTTCAGTCTTTGTCGCATCCTCAGCCATTTCCACAGCATACCACGTGGGGAACTAGTGAATTATTGTCTTTGCGCATTTGAATTTGTCAAAATCAATTTTCCAGATCAATCAAAATTATCTGAACTTTTGCACTCGCGTTTGTGATGAAGGTATTACAACATTTAGCCTGTAAAAATAGTGCACCAGCTCTCAGTCGCTCTCTCCACACAGCAGATGACTCATTAATTGTCTTGGCCTGTTTTATAGATATTGGCTGCTCTCCTTTGATGCAAAACACGCAATAGGAATGCTTCAAAACCATAACAACGACTCTTCAAACGGTAATTCGTCATACACTGTGAAATTTGCTGTAATGTTTTCTGGGATAATGCAAACCCGGATTTCTCTTGTCCATGAGTGCCACTCAAATCTTTTCTTTCTTGCCTTTTTTACTCTCCACCTCTGTGTCGTATTTGTCGCAGTGCTAACGAAGCCTTCGTCAAAATGTACTGACTCTCGTGTACATTTGCAGATACTTCTTTTACTAGGGCTCGCTGCAGTGCATATTTGTTCATTTTTTACGAAAATAAACTTTTGATCGAACTCTGAGACCTTTTAATCTTGACGCAATGAAAGAAAATTGACGATCTCGAATCACTGTAGACGGTTACATGTACAATTCGCTTGAAATGTATTGTATTTGGACTCTTTCGCGTCGCGGCGTCACGTTCTCTAAGCAGGACACACGTGACAGGGCATTTTTTGTCAAATGAGCCTTTGCTCTATCTTCTTTTTCGCACAAACATCGAGCGCAAATTTGTCGATGAACAAAGAGACAGAGCTTTCATCGTTTTCTATAAATAAATACTATCCAAACGAATGCCATCACATACTTCAATATCACGACAAGATCGTTTTTATAGATGTGATAATCATGGCCACCTCATCTGTCACAGCTTAAGTCAGCACAGTGTAGCGTGTCCGGCGATCTATATTATCACCCAGTCAATTTTAAGTTGGCTTCGTCGCAATCAGTATTTTGTCTTGATTTAAAACAGTCTTGCCATCGAGTTCGATTTATTATACAGTTATTATACCCTCGAAAATTCTTCAAGGTAGGTTGCCAAGCAAGCAACTTGCCTTGGTTACTTTATGTTTCGACCCACTGGCCAACATGGTAACCGATTTTCCTAATTCATCTTCATCAGATATGGGAATTTTATGTATGGTGATTGATACATTTTATATACAATCGTTTGAGGCATCAATGGCAATCAAAGCACATGTTGCCGTTGCCGAGCTATCTATGATCCTCAAAGAGCGAATAAATTTGGCCTTTAGTTAACAAACCTCTCGATTGTAAGATCCCCTTTTGTATCATGAATGTAACGGAGTTTCACGTGCCCTGGTATGAAGGGTGTGATTCACACAAGATAGTGTGATCATACAATAGCGTAGATCACACAAGATGGTGTGACCATGGCTACACTCAAACAACAAGTCAGTACGTGGCTGGAACAGCCCTGAGTTGTACATTTAACGCGGTTTTACAATATAGAAAAGAAAACCTATATATTCGGATTTGCCGCAAGTAAAAAAAGGATAAATACAGTTACATTTTAAACGGACGAGTTAAGGAGCCTTGTATAAGTTTGTATATACTCTTCAGATGAGCCGATTGCGATTCGCTATAATTGCAGTGTTTCTAAGTATAGACCGAGGGTCACCGACCTTAACCAAGCTTCCTCTAAGCGAAAGAGCTACGACATCTCCGCTGCAACAGTGCTCTTTTTCACTTTTTCGCTTGAAGGAATGCAACATAGTTACTCACCAAATCCAAATAAGGTACCTCATTCTGTCGATCCCAAGTCGATTTGCCTAAAATGCCGTTTATTGACTTGAGTGCATGCTTTTCATCAAATTAAGGTATTTGCGGCATTCGCCTTATATGCAGAGGTTTGTTTTCAATGGTCGTTAACATAGGCGACAAGCTCTACCAGGCGTAACTTCCGTAGATCTGCCTCGTACCTGCCTTCAATCGGACAATCAACATCATCTTTTACGAATGATGTGTGTGAAAACCTTGTCTTCCTAAACAAAGTGGATTCCTAAAATTAATCTACTGATCGGTTGTAGAAAAATCATTAATTAATCGTTTGATCCACTATGTCAGATATCTTAGCACACGAATAAAGAATCACTGAGTACTCTACAAAAATCTAATCGTGTTATCGCTGGCAAAATGGAACAAATTTTAAGATCAGTTAGTTCATCGCTAAGCAGACTAATTCGATACACTACCGGGCTGTCTACAGCGGGGCTGCCGTAGCTTTGCGTTGAGGAAGCGTCTTTTAGGTCACCGACCTTTCGTTCTTTACAAGAACCAAGTACTTAAAAGCCTTAACCAAGGCAACGCACACTTCTGTTCAGAATCAAAACCGTTTTTTTATATTTTTATCCTTATTTTAAAAGTTTAGATTTTCCTAAGATTACTAAATATATATACTAAAATCTAAATACATCCATAACTACTGGCTTCCTAGCCCCGTCTCGTATTCTTGTTTGGGTGTGTGGTCACATTATGCACATCTCGTGTGGCACGCACACACCCCTGTTATTGGGGTTCGTGTAACCCCGTTACACCCTCTTCCATTAAGATTGAGAGCGTTTACAGTTCCAATTAATCATTGCCTCAACGAGGCTCGCGTGTCCGTTAGACACTGCAACTTCATTTGTTGGAACAAATAACTTCCTTGCTCAATGAGCCCAGTGTCAACGACACCAAAATTTCCAAGTCTCGCCGGTTCTGAAGGCGAGCATGGGCAAAGCCCAACTTTATCTACCGCACTCGGTGCAACATAGGTCAGTGCGTCCGCAGCACCGAGGGGTGTATATCCTAGGCTCGATGAGCATAAACGTCGCACTCCGCGCACCCTTTAAGTGCCGAGTGGCCTCGTTGAGCTGGTGGTCGACTATGAGTCTGAAACTCCTTTTCCTGCATGAGATGACGAGGAAGACGAGCTGCGCCAGCGGCGCGATACGAGCCCTGCTCGTGTCTTGCAGACACACGTCCGTTCCCTAACTTCTCGTCAACTGGGCACGTGGTGTGATGACCTCGACGGGGAACAGAGGCGGCAGCTTGAAGCTGTCCGTAAGGCGGCTCTAAAGCGCGCCCATCCACA